GAGACTAACAAATTTCCCAGTGCCAAAAGAAAAAAAAACAATGCCTAAGAACCAACAACTGTATTCTATATTCAAATGGTAGTTCTTCTAAATACTGTGTTTAATACTGGTTGAACCAAGGATTTCTCAACTGTATCTCCTAACATGAAACTACTGAAAAGGTGAGAAATATATTTAATGATGGAATATGCCAATGCAAAAAACATGAAACATGTTGCTTTTACCTAACAAATTTATGGACATGTTTCTACCTCAGTACAGTTAACTGTAAATGGTTATTACTAAACATGCATTAAATCCTATTATGCCAAGAAATGAATACCTGGTCTCTACTTAGTCAATCAGACATCACCCCAAATAAGTTTATACAAACATGGGGGGAGGCTGGGAAGGGATGTGAAGGGTAAACAAAGGAGGAGGCTGCAATGCTTGGTAAGAAATGTACGCATTATCCTGCCCATGTAATTGTAACCCCTCTGTACAGTATGTTCACAAATAAAATAAAATTAAAAAAAAAAAAGATTATACAAACATATAAATGATTAGTTTTGAAGGATACCAAAAGACACTTCCATATACATTGCTATAATGCCACATTTTGGGAACCTTATGGGTATTATTTAAACATCTTAAAAATAACCTAGTGTGAGGACCTAGGTTTCATCCCCAGTCCCACAACAATCATAATTTTCCAAATCATCTACTGGATCAGAAATAGTTACCAACAGAAACCAAAGCTTCAGACCAAAGAACAGGGTAAGGCGCATTCAAAACACTATTTTTGATAGCATAAGACTAGAAATAGCCTCTACTTCCATCAACAAAGAAATGACTGAATAAAGTGAACCTTTTTGGATAATGAACTATGAACTAATATGTATGCAGTTCTTTTTAAAAAGTAAATCTATAGACATTGACGTGGAAATATATCCAGAATCTTGTTAAGTGAAAAATAAATCATGTTGTAGTTTTGTGAGATGGCATATCTCATTTTTTTTATTCTTTATTTTTTGTGTTTATGTGGTACCAAGGAACTGAACCCAGAGCCTTACACATTCTAGGCAAACACTCTACCACTAAGCCACATTCCTTGCCCTAGTATATCTCATTTTTAAACACACACTTAAACCCTGTATATACAAACTATGGGAAAAAACACACAACAACAACCTGTGAAAAATGTATAAGTAGAAAAGGAAAACAAACTAAGTAGAAAAGGAAATTAGTTAATTTCTTTACTTAGCTCTGCAGTAACTTATAATGTGCATGTAGTATTTGGCAATATATTCTAAAATACACAAACTATTGTAAATATACTATTATTATCTATGTAAAGTTTTACATATAATTTTAATAAATCAGTTTTAAAATAACCAAAAAGAAAAACTACTCATTAGCCAAGTGCAGGAGACTAACACTTGTAATCCTGGCCATTCAGGTTGAGACTACTGGATTTGGGGTCCAATCCAGGCAGACAAATCTAAGAGACTTTCATCTCTAATTAACCAGTAAAAAGTAGGAACTGTAGGTGTGGCTCAAGTGGTGGAGCTTCTGCTCTAAGCCAGAGCTCAAGGCCCTGCTTTCAAGTACCAATACCATCATAGAAACAAAAGTTCATAGCATTTCTGACATTGTTTCTGCATTCACTGACAATATGGCTATGAAGCCAACCATACAAATGGCTTCAAAATAACCAACACCCAATAATAGAGGGCATTTTTTCAGTGTTTTTCGGAGTTCAATTCCCTACTGTGTCTGTTAGAAAACTATTTTATTCTATTCCTTAGGACACTGGGTAATTTTTACATAACTGATTCAGGACAACAGGAAAAAAGCAACCCACTAAATATTCTTGGTCATCTAAAGTATTATAAGCTTTGATAGTACTGAAGTGATAAGACAACAGTCTCTTGCCTCCACATAACTCAAGAATAGAAACATTCTGTGCTTACAGGAAAGGAAAAAATGCTACTTGATTTATCAGTCAGATGAATACAAAATTTCTACAGTTAATCTAATAACTTAATCAAATTGAGTAGTCAATTTCCTTTCCATAACAGTACTATAACCTCTGAAATGCACTCATCCACATTGAAGACAAACAAAAAGAAAAAAACAAAACAAGAAACACCTCACTTTTTGAAAGACATTTAATGTCACATTTTTATGTCATCTAATGCAGGCAAGAAAAACAGAGCTGGATTTGATTAGTGTGTCAAAATGAAAGGAAAATTCTTCCAGCTAGTTATGGTGGGATGCTAGGAGCAGGAAATAAAAGTACTCCAAAACCTACCTTTGTTCACAGTACATAACAACTAAAACACAAAAACTTCCACCTACTACTACTGAACCGAATTAGTGAAAATTTTACTGTCAAGACTGCTTTAATAGAATTTAGTGTAGAGAAGAAAAACGTATAAAGACTGACCCAACAAGCTGATCATTGTTGATGGCTGGCTGAAAGTTGTATGAATACTCAGTATATACTTTATTTTGTGTTATATGTTTTGTTTTTCGGGGTTCTGCCACTCCTTGGGGCTTGAACTTGGGGTCCAGGAGCTGTCCCGGAACTTTTGCTCATGGCTGGCACTCTACTACTTGAGCCACAGTTCCATTTCCAGCTGTTTTGGTGGTTAATTGGAGATAAGTCTTAGACTTTCCTGCACAGGCTGGCCTCAAACCACAATCCACGGATCTCAAACTCGAGAAACTAGGATTACAGGCATGAGCCACTGACACCCAGCTTCTGTGTGTGTTTTAAATTGTCTGGAATAAAAAAGATTTTTAAAAATAAAACACAGTGTTTCTAGTATCAATGTTTTTAAGTTGTCTCCTGCTGCCTCTAATTTTTAACCATACAAAAATGGTTCCGACTTTTTGAAAAAAGGAAAACTCTTACTAGCTGTAATTTTAACACTTTCTTACATACATTATTAAACTCTAAGAACTTGATAGCTATTAACATCATTCTAAAAAACATTCTAAATTCTGTTGCAAAGTTGAACCATGCAACAGTTGTAAATAAAAGAGTAGCTTTTTAAATGTAAATTTAATTGCAAGAACTTTTTAAAACAGCTGCTAGAATCTAAGCCTTCACATCTTTACAAAGTGCCTATTGTATAGACCCACTATTTCACACCATCTCTAATCCTACGAAAGTATTTTAGAAATGAAGAAACCAGGTCAGACAAGTGACTTATTCATGTTATATGTTGTATACTACTCAGTGGAGAGATAAGAAAAAGGTCCAGGAATAACTAACTACAGGGCTCAAAAGCCATGTTCCTCTCATGCATCCAAAAGCTATCAACTACCCTTTAAGTGTACCTTAGCAACGTTATAAGCACTGGGACAATAACTATATGCCAAAGCAATGTGTCAAGTGCTTTCTTTAAACCTCACTGAATCCCTGAAACAACTCTTTAAAATGTAGGCACAATTATTCCTTTTATAGTCCTTTAAAGGGCTTTGGGTCTGAGAAGTTAGGGAATTGTTTAGAGTCACTTAACTGACAAGTAGTAGTACTGGACAGGGAATCCTAGGCCACAAGACTCCACAACCTAACCAACTCCATACCTCAAGGCAAGAACCAAGTAAACCCATCTAAGCTGAACTTAGAAGGAAAACTTTAGTGGAAAGGCTTGCAGGGAAATAAAAATGAGTTAAGATTATTGCAAGGTCAAATCTATCCTCAATAACTACATCTAAAAGTAGCTAGAACTACTACAATAATGCAACTATTAGCCAACTTGAGTAAAGCAAAAAATAGTAAACTGCAAGAGTTTACCTCTGGGTTCTGACACTTTCTTGCTGGTGGACCAATAGGAAAACACCTGCCCTCTGCATACCTGTTTCTTCACATATAAAATGGAAACACTACCTCTGAAGTTGTGAGGATAAAGATTTGGCTGTATGATGGCTGACATGAGAAGACCTTAGGTCATAAAAGCGCAATTAGTGGTCAACCCATGCAAACAGGAAAAAAGGAATTAAGTTGCCACTATATACAGAGCCAGTCTGTAACCCCAGTTTGAATGTGAGTGTAGTATGGAATGCACCAGCCACCATGTGAGAGAGGCTTGTTTATAGCATCCTTAGCCTGCTACATTACAACTTCAGGCCTCAGCTTCTCATCCCCGTCCCCTTATAATATGAGGATAACATAAACTTCTCTCCTACGGCTACATGAGGCAAAGCATTCATGTGTGAGGACACCGTTCCTGGCACCACGGTACAGTGCAAACCCTCCAAACATTCGTGTGGCATCTCTTCTTACATTCTAGAAACGCCCAAACTTTTTTTTTTTTCCTCTTTATTATCTCTACACGTTATGTAGTTTCTGGGCCTTCAAGGGTGATCACAGGGGGAACTCACTAACACCAGAAGCTCACAAGCATGGACCCACCGACCCTGTCCCCAAGAAGGGGGGCGAAGGAGGGGGTGTCCACGGACTGACTACCCACAGCGACAAGGGCAAGGGCACCGGGGCTAGTCCAAGATGCCGGCGAAGCTGCGAGGTGCTAACTGCTGCCTTTTTGTATTCGGGGACCGATGCGGCTTTGCGGGGTGGCAACGCCACGTCGGGGGCTCCCGGGTGAGCAGACGGTGCGGCACGCGTGGGTAAACACTGCGGGGGTGGTCTGCCGGCGCGGGCCCGGGCGGCGGCGGCGGCGGCAAGGGGCCTGTGGAGGCCGCGCCGGAGAGGCGGGGAAGGCGAGGCCGGAACACACCCTTCCCGCAGCCTCGGGGCCCTCCGCCGGCCCGGGTGCACGAGGGGGCCGCCGGGAAGGTGCAGGGGAGGGACCCAGGAGCCCCCGGCACGACGTCCTGTCAGGCCCACCGACCCCCGGGCTCGGCGCCGCGGCCTGCGTGGCCTGGCCCGGGGCGCCGCCCGCTTGCCTCCAGGCGCGCCAGCGCGGCCCGCCGGCGAGGCCGGACGCCGGGGCCGGGGCCGGGGCCGGGACCCGGGCCGGTCGGACACTGCGGAAGGCCCGGGTTACCTGGGGGGTTGCTGGTGGCTGGGCAGCTTTCCGGGAGGGAGGGGGGCTTCAGGACGAGGAAGACGAGTGCGGATGCGCCGGGAGAGGGAAGGGGGGCGGTCGGCCGAGGCCCCGGCAGGGAGGCGGACTAGCCCGGAGGTGCAGACGGCGCCAGCGGCGGCAGGAGCGGTGACGGCGGCGAAAGCTCCTGCGGTTCCCTCAGGATCTTCCTCGGGCTGGTCCAAGATGGCGGCGCTCCCTGCACAGGGTTTCCTGTCACCCTCGCAATGGGCCGGACCACAAAAGAAGGGGGGGAGGATGCGTGCGCAGCTGACGGAGCCCGGAAGAGGGTGGCGGAGGCCGGCCTGGTGGCCACGCCCCTTCCTCGGTCCTCCCCCCCCCTCTGGTCCCTGCGCGCCGCCGCCGAGACCCGCCCACTTTGGCGCTGGCGCCCAAAGGGGCGGGGAAAGCGCCGGGCGCGTGCGCAATCGCGTGTCCTCGCGGGCCAGGAGGTGTTACTGCGCAGGTTCGTGCAGATCCTGGTGAGGGTGCGTCTGGTGTAGGGTTGCTGCTGTTGGAGACTTAAACTATGTTGAATGTCAGCAACTGCTTCTTAGTGGGCTTTCATCGTGTACTGGCATGCGTTCAACATGTATGAACTGATCGCTCGCATCCGTGGGGAGGAGCAAGCCTCATTCTCCCAGTGGCAAAACTGGCCCACGTTGACCCAGTCACTTGTCCAACACGTTGCAGCCAGGAAGTGACCATTTTTGCCCTGTGTGTCACCGCTGCCCCTTCTCACCTCGCTTTAGGGGTGCCTTTTAAGAGAAGAGGGAACTAATGTTTTCGCAACTTGTCCACCACCTGTTATCTTCCAACGTGGCCTCTATTATTAGCACTGCCCCACGAAGTTAAGCCACCTTGGTGGGTTGACTTTGGTTTGACTTTCTTGGGCGTAGGACACTTTCACCTTGTTGGCTGTGGATGTGAATTTATTTTTGCCTTTTTGCATGTTAAATTTTATAACTGCATTGATAGATTTTAAAATGACCTACAGCAAGGCATTTTCTTTGACACAAAAGTTCTTTTTCCTCCTCTTGATTTAAAAGAGCTTAAAATATTCTTTGTGAATCCTTACGAGTGTTTTAGACCCTAAGCATTTATCTTCAGTGAGTGACTAGTGTGTAAGGAGGTCCTGCAAGTTTAAACTTACTGCTGGCATTTAAGAACTTTCATAAGTGGAAAAGTGAGAGTTCATTGGGGAAAATGTATGGTCATTTACAAATCTCTTATTTTCAGAAGAACTTGAGTACAGATCATTTTTCTGCAGCCTACTAATAGGATGGCATAGCATGTGTCACTTGATTTCCCAGATCCTTAATCTTTTCTGCAGAAATAATGGGAATATTATTATCTAACTCACTTGGGTCCTTATGAAAATTAAATGAGACAATGTATGCACAATGCCTGGAATATAATAAAAAGTCAAATAGGAATGGATATTATATGGTAATAGATCCAAATCTCTTCCAACTCAAGCCTATGCCTCGGAAGTACATATTTGTTAACTATTTTGTTGTTACATTTTTTAACATTCTAGAAATCAGTACGTTTTCGAGACTGGGAATATAGCATAGTAGTAGGACACATGCCTAACATGCACCAGGTAAAGGAAGAAAGAAGGGAGAGAAAAAGAGAGGAAGAAGGAGGAGGAAGGAGGGAGGTAAGAGCTGTGAGCCAATTGCCGTTACTCATTCAGTATGAATTTAAGATGGGCTAGAAAGTTATTATGTATCCAGTTGTTACTTGACTTGAAACCTTTCCTTGTTACTAGTGTTGATTGGATAATTTTTATTAGGTGCCAAGAGCAATCCATGTATATTTTCTTATATAGTCCTTTCAATATCATTATGAAGACATCACTGTTACCTATTTCATTAATGGAAAAACAGAGTGTCATCCAAGTCTAAAGCCATGGAAGTTGGCGGTTCTGGGACTTGAATCTGACCAATTGTGACTTGAGTCACATTCCTAAACACTACTCTGATCCTTTCTCTCTTATTTGCACTTACAGCACCACAGCCAACTTCAATGTACATCCCAAATTACCACCGAAGACATCATTTTGGGGCAGGTTTGAAAGGAAATATGAATGCAGAGTGCTGGACACATCCTAAGTAATGCAATTACTGAGAGCAGAAATAATTATTAAAACAAGCCTCAGAATTTTTTAAGTTGAGAAACTGTGTCACCAATTGCAGCATAATTAAGGAGCATACATTAGGTGCTAAACACCTGTCAACATTTCTAGCTAACTTAAAAAAAAAACTGTTTCTATGTGGAGAGGTAAACACACAATATTAATTGGAACACTGTAAGAGCAAATGATTAGAGACAAACTATTACTCGAGAAGTGTTCTAGTACACTTACATGTGGATACAACTATTATATTCAACTACTATATTCAGTCATAAAAGAAATGGCATGAGTACATTCTGGGAAGAAGAAGCCTGGCTAATCTAAAGTGGAATGAGAGATACTGTTGAAATAGATTGTCAGTAAGAATGAGAATAGAACAATGAAACATCTTTAATTTTATTAGGAAGGGGGATAGAGGAGAGTGACAGAGGGGGAAACTTATTGGAATATATTAATACATATGTGGAAATATCACAATGAATCCTCTTTTGTATAGCTAACATATGCTAATAAAAGTTAAAAAGAAAAAACGTGTCCATTAAAAACAGTGCCTTACATCCTCATACACTTAGATACTAACACTTCCAAACACAAGCTGGTGGGATTTATGAGGGAGTGACAATCTAAAGTTGTCCCCTAACAAACAGCAAAGTCCCATAAAGTACAAAGTACACTTGATACTTTTTTGAGGAAAAACCCTGGAGACTATTATCTTTGTTTTCCTTCAGTGTTGGATCTAATGGCCATATGCTTAGCTAACCACTCAAAGACATGAACGATTTCCATTTAGAGCCCATGTTTCATGGAGGGGAAACACACACACACACAAACACACACACACACACACACACACATACACACACAAGCAATGTGTCTCTTTTATGTCTAGAGTCTCATGCAGTGTGGAAAAATGACCACCTCAAGAGATTCACATGGAAACAGATCTGCTGAAAAAAACAGACCCTACCCTTTCACTATGTTCTTACTCCATGGCAGGTACTTACTTAGTAAGTAAGGATTGCAGTTTTTAGTATTTATTTCTTCATTGCTTTGTTTGACCTCATATGCTTAGTTGAAAAGGTAGGTTAAAGCCTAATGGTAGAGGATTTACCTAGCCTGTGTGAGGCCCTGGAGTTCACCACAAAGAAGGAGAAAATTATATGTGTGTGTGTGTGTGTGTATGCGATATATAAATCATGTATATGATAAAACATGTGTGATGTGACACAACAGTATTAAATTGACAGTGACTCTCACAATAAAAGTTGGCAGGTGCTGTCAAAGTGAGACTTTCCACTCTTTACAAGCCAAGTGAGCCTGCTGGAGTTTTCCTGTACAGGCAGAAGATGAAAGACTTCTGGTTCCGAGACATAGGACTTCATTCTTTACATCATAGCAAGCAGAGTGGGCATCATCGTAATTGCCTGTTTCCCATGTGCCCAGGTCCCATGGGCAGCGATGTGAATGAGCGCATGTACACATGGTGTTTTAGAAGAGCCCTGGATTGAGAGAAAACATGGGGCTTGTACTCAGGGCCTGAGCACTGGCCCTGACCTTTTTCACTCAAGAATAGAGTGCCTATCAGTTGAGCCCCAGCTGCACTTCTACCTTTTTGGTGGTTAATTGGAGATAAGAGACTCACAGGATTTCCTGCCCGGCTGGCTTTGAGCTGCAGTTCTCATATCTCAACCTTCTGAGTAGCTAGGATTGCAGGGGTGAGCCACTGGTGCTCCACATAGCCAAACCCTTTATCTTTCCTTCCTCAACAGATTTTTTTTCATATATGTAAATCAGGTACACATTTGGGACCCTGACAGAGCCCTAGACTCCCTTCCTTAAATTGGGGAGCAGCTGGGCGCCGGTGGCTCACGCCTGTAACCCTAGCTACTCAGGAGATCTGAGGATCACAGTTCAAAGCCAGCCCGGGCAGGAAAGTCTGTGAGACTCTTATCTCCAATGAGCACTAGAAAACCGGAAGTAGCGTTGTGGCTCAAGTGGTAGAGCACTCACCTTGAGCTGAAGAGCGCAGGGACAGTGCCCAAGCCCAGAGTTCAAGCCCCATGACCAGCCAAAAAAAAAAAAAAATTGGGGAGCAATTTCCTGGGTTCCTAATTGCATTACCAAAGCCATATGGGTCCAGATGTTATAACTAAGAGACTTGAAAATGATCATGGCTTTCATGAGACAGAATTTATTCCATGTTCACATAGAAGTATAAGTAGATGGCCCAGGGCTGACAGACAAGCTTGAAGTTGCCTTGGTTGTTACATTGCCACCCAACCGCATGTTCACATCTCGTAGCTCAAAATATTTAATCTAGCTGCTACCAAGAGAGAGGAGAAAAAGAAGTGTACGGCATGGGCCTTTAAGTATAGACCCCAGAAATTATACACATCATTTCTGCTCATATCCCATTTATGAATCACTTGGTCATGCCTAACTTTAAGGGACACTGGGAAATTTGGTCTTTATCCTGGAGGGGGATTATTACTAATGAAAGGGCAAACAATTGGGTAGCTATTTCTGCTATACTGTACTTCTTTTGCTAAAGGGATGTCAGGCATTAGAACCAGGGAGCTGGAGTCAAACCTTTAGGCCACCAGGATGAGGACTGGGATGAGCAGCAGGACTTGAAATGTTTCCCACCAGTTAATTCCTTCAGGATCCCTGCTCTGTGCCCTCTGTGTGACTGAGCCAGGGCAGGGGGGTGGGGGAATGTTAGGGGAGAACATTGGCCTTGTTTGAGTTCTGAAGGAGGAAGAAGCAGAGGGAAGTCAGAGTGTCCCCTTTATTACTAATATAGTCTGATGGGAGAAGAATTTTAGAGCTGGTAGCCAAAAGACACAAGTTAGTTATAAACCTTAGACTTAGAGCAGGGACCCTTACTGAGGGGGACCAGAGCCCTAGGAGCAGCTCCCTTCCTGTTAAAAAAAAAAAAAAGAACCATGCGGAAGTGAGCAAGACTATGTATTCTCCAATTTACTGAGTAGATCAGTCATGCATGTTGTTAGGAAATGAGTGAAGCAGAGACAGGAACAAAAATGAGGTAGAGCATGAAAAGTTTAGAAAAAAATTCCTTCCTCACTGAAAGCAAGAT